AAAACAAATCCTGGATTAGGACGTTGGGAACAAGGCACCCTTGTGTAGTGTTGATAAGAATACAAATTGGTGCAGTCACTATGGAAATTAGTGTGGCAGTTCCTCAAAACTAGAAATACATCTAACATATAACCCAACTACACCACTCATCTACCCAAAGGACTCTATTTCCAACTACACAGACATATGATCATATTCACAGTTGCTCTATTCACAATAGTTAAGACATGGAACAGCCGAGATGTCCACCAACTGATGAATGGATAATGGAAATGTGGTACCTACATAAAATGGAATTTTATTTAGCTAAAAAAGAAAAATAAAATGTGCAGGCAAATGGATGGAACTGGAAATAATCATTCTGAGTAATGTAGCCCAGACCCAGAAATGTGTCACTTGTTCTTACTCACATGTGGATCCTGGCACTGAATCTTTAGAGTTATGTGTTTAATTTGGAATACTTATGGAATCCAGGAAACTAGAAAGGAACCACTAGCGGGGAGGGTGAAGAAAAGTATTAATGGATAGGGGATACAGAACACAGGTGATATGAAAGGAAAAGGAAGACTGGAGAGGGAAGCTTAAGTGAAAAGAGGGATGGGAGGGAGGGTTAGAAGACAAGTGGAGGAATCACTAACATTAAGGGTGTTTGAAAAAGCCATATGAAAGGCTACTATAGGCATCCTAAATGTATTATATGTTCATATAATATATATTCTTATAATTTAATTAAAATTACTCTAGATAGGGGTAATGCTCCTCCCAGAAGCCATAGGTTGCCAAACAAGAAGCCTAGTGCCAGGTGTGGGATAGCTCCTTCAAGTTGCTGGTCAAGGATGTCCCAGACACCTCCAAAACAATAGACTATTGCCATAGCTCTTGATTGACCACCACAACTTGATGGTAAGACACTATTGCTGAAGACACCACACACATGAAAAAATCAAGATAGCACTGACCAGAAAGCTTCCTCCCTGTTGGCGAGCTTTCATGGTACTGGAAGGTGCTATGCAGGCTGCTGGCAGAAAAATGTCATTAACAGCCTCACCCGGCTGCGAACCCTAATGACAACCACTGTGGCAAGATAACCCATAAATGCAACAGTAGCATGAATGTTATGGGGGAAACCAATCTCTTTCTGCTAAGATTTATGCCCACTCCATAGGAGGAAACTCATGCCAGGTATCATAAAATCTGGCCAGGAACCCATGGTTGGGGAATTCACAGACCCCAGGGATGAACCTACTATTATTCTTCTAAATGGACAGAATATCAAATTACCCTCTAAATTCCTATCTCTACTATTAGTGCAGCTTTCAGATGCCACCAAGAAAGTCTCTTTGTTCAGGGGAATGTGGTTAACACAGAAACTCACAACTGATCAAAGTGCAGAGTATCAGTGGATTGCTCAGCTACAAATGACATACACATATGCACACCCACAGGCTTGGGGACCATAATGGAAGGAGTTGGGAAGATTGTTAAGAGCCAGGACTGGGTTAAAACAGTGTCTTCCGGACATGACAGCATCACCACACTCATGAACTCACAGAAGTTGTGGATGCCTGCACAAGATCTGTAGAAGATCAAGCCAGTCAACATTCTAGCACAGAGTGGGAAAGGGTTCATGAGCCTCCCCCCCTGAGAAGCTACTGACAGCTGATGGCTTCTCAGGAAGGAAAGACAATTGTTTTAAGAGTGCAGCCCCTGGTAGGTCGACCCGCTACAGTGGATGTCCCCATACTCAGGAATATACAGGGAGTTCAAATTGGACTCAATGGGTTATTAAATCAGAAAACATGAAGTTAGGAAGGGGTAGAGAGGTTGGGGTTGGATCTGGAAGTGGAGGATGAATATAATCAAATACATTATATGACATTCTCAAATATATTTTTTAAATTATGTTTCAAATAGCTGTTTCCCACTTTTTCATGCCTGTTCTCTTATCCATTTGCTTTTAATTTCTAAGAGTTCTGCATCAAACTTGGCCCTCCAACTTACAAAGTCTCAATTATAACAGGAGAGCTATAGGCTTTCTTTGCTGCTCCTTTGTCTTCCTTTTATTTCCTATTTCTTGCACAGCTGTCACCAAAGAGCACCACCACACCAAGATTCTCCTCAGCCTCCAATATGAATAATTTTAAAATTATTTTTGTCTGAGTACTTCTAGATTTCCTGGGTGAATATTCTATACAGGGGAGTTTCACACCTGGGTATTTAACTGTACAGAACTTGAAATTTACTCTGAACAGTTTCATCTTTGCTCCAGTCTCAGATAGCAGTTATAATGAACCTGGGTGGATTTTCCAATAATACATGGGAAGAGTAAACAAGGCAACTTCCAGCTGCAGAGATGGTTCCTAGGCCTGTGAGAAAAGCCTATGCCTCACTCCTTACCTGGAAAGCACTGGCACCTGCCACTGTCACAGTAGCTCTGCAGATTCTCTTTAGCAGGCAGGACCTTGTCAAGTGAAGCATACAGAAAAATGTGGTATCAGGAGAACCCAATTAAATTTTGGGAGACTAGCAGTTAGGAAGACTGAATCAATGTGAAATCTAAACCAGACAATAGCTGGGCATGGTGGAGCACACCTTTAATCCCAGCTCTCTGAAGAAGCAGGTGGACCTTGGACCTCAGTGAGTTCAGGTTAGCCTGGACTACATAGTGAGTTCCAGGCCAACCAAGGCTACACAGTGCGACCCTGTCTCGAAACACACACACACACACACACACACACACACACAAAACAACCAGGTAATGATACTCTCAAAGGCCCATCTGTTCATTTCCTCAGCATCCTCACAGCACAGCTGTATGGCTGAAGAGGTCTGGAGCTGTACAGGGGTAGCTGACATAAATCAGCCTGTGCAGGAGGAGTCAGGGCAGATGGACTTAGGCCTCACTGAGCTGCTTCTGGTAATCAGCATGGCTCCGCCTGCTGCCCATGATCACCCCACAGGCGGGCTGCAGTGAAGACTGAGGTAACACTGGCTGCTGGGTGGAACAGGTGCTACAAGGGGTTAGTTCTTTCTCTCAATTACTGCTAGTATAATCACACTAGTTTTCTCTATTTTCTGCCTTTCCAAGTGCTATTCTTTGTGAATAAATGTCATACATTTGAACTCAATCTCTTCACAAGATGAACTGCTGCCTCTTATCACCTCACACCATCTTATCTGTACTTCCATGTCATATTTGGTCATTTTTATTATTTGGCATTGTTGTTAATATTACTATGTTGCCACTAACAAGAAGTCTAACAAACCTTCCTGTTCTACACCACTCCCACTGTGCTGGTGCTGTAAGAATTCTAGTTCTGGATGATCATGAATATACTTGCTGTTCTTTATTTTCTACGTAGTCTTACTTTTTACTTCGTCTCTTTTATCAACAAACTTTCCCCAATGTCTGATTTGCTTGAATTTCTTTGATTTTTGGTGGTAGGGATCAAATCCGAGGTTTTGTACAGGCTAGGCAAATGCTCCCCTGTAAGCCACACACCCAGAGCCACCCCCGACCCCTTTTCCAAGTCTTACATCTCCTAGATTTGCTTTTCTTTGTATCTAAGTATTTTCTCCAAAAAGTGGTTTTTGTGGAAAATCTTCTGAAACCTTGAATGAGCATATTCAATTTGATTCCTTGAGCAGGCATGAGTGACTGTTTCTGCTCTCAAATGTCCCTTGTGTGTGGGTCTGGTGACTGAGTCTTCAACAACTAAGGTTGAGTCAGCCTCTGAATGGCATGAAAACAAAAAGCAAACATCTTCAGGAAACCATTTCTCATACACTGCTGCTGTAACTCTAACTTGGTTCAGACCTCTACAGGGTCATTTCTAGCCATGTGGATCAAACATTTTTAAATACTACTAGGTATGTACATGAAGGATGAAAACCAATTATATTCAAAAGCATATACGTAAGGAAACTCATCACAACATTGTGATAGGAAAAGAACTGAAAACAACATCCTCTCCAAAAACAATTAGCTGAATTATGTTTAATTATAGAATCATCATACAGTGATGAAGGTGTACAGATTTGAGCCAGGAGATGGCTCAGCAGGTAAAGGTGCTTGCAGGAAGCTTGATGACCTGAGTTTGATACCCAAAAACCACATGGTGGAAGGAGAGAACAGATACTTTTGTTTCGTTTTGTTGAAACAGTGTCTCCTTGTAGCCCCAGCTAGCCTGGAACTCACTATGTAGACCAGGCTGGCCTCTTTCTCACAGAGATCCACCTGCCTCTGCCTCCTGAGTGATGAAATTAAAATTGTGCACAAGCATGCCTGGCATTGAGAACATATTCTTGAAAGTTGTCTACTGACTTCTACAGGTGTATGCTGTGGTATGTGCACATCCAGTGTAAGAAAACACACACACACACACACACAATAAATGAGTAAATTTTTTTTTTTTTTAAACTTTTAAAAAAGAGACATAGATTTTCCAGGGAATGGTGGTCCATGCCATTAGTCCCAGCACTCAGAGGCAGAGACAGGCAGATCGCTATGAGATGGAGGCCAGCCTAGTCTAAGCCAGCTGGGGCTACATGGAGACCCCATCTCAAAAAAAAAGTTTAGATGTATGGACAGGGAAAATCAGGTAATTTGCAAGGAAGTCTACTTTTATTTAGAATGGTGCATATCTAAGTAGAGAACATCTGAGAGCTGAAACATGAATACAGGTCAGAATGCCAAAGAGTGATGGCTGCTCTCCATTGACTCTGCTGAACAGATCACTATGATAAAGGGGCTAAGTTACAGAGAACAGAATAAAAATGGTCACTTTCAAACTTTATACCAAAATCCTTTTTTTCCCCCAAATAAAACCCTTTGTTTGAAAGCCAACAGATAACAGACACAAACAGAGCACTGTCCACTCAAATCCTTCCTTGCTGTTCCCATTGTGCCATGTGAAAACTACTACTTAATGCCTTCTGCTGACTCTAAATACCAAGTTAGAGCTATAAAAAAAAAAAAAAAAAAAAAAAAAAACCACACATTTAATCTAGTATTTATTTATTTAGTGGGTTTTTGTTTTGCAACTATAAATTACAATCACTAGTACACCTGTAATTCTTTATAGTGTGTTCAATTAAGGAATAAGCAAAGACAGCTTAAGTCAGTTTAAAAGAAATCACAGTACTTCGTAGTGTAATTTGCAAAAGAGGGGGGAAGTCTTGGGCCCACTTCTCGGAAATAAATATTGAGTAACCATACAAACATCCAGCCGTTCTGCAGTTGTTCGGGAGGTCATGCACGGTCCCACGCAGACCGTCAGAGCTCTTCTTTGAAATATCCCAGCTTTGCCAGTGACATCTCTTTCCTCAACTGCATAACTTCCCAAAACATCTGATCAACTACACAAACAAAAGAAAGAAATGCAAATCATAACATATCATCTTAATTACTGTTGTTTTACTGAAATCTTAGATCAGCTGAAATGAAAAACTAGACAAGTCCTAATGATGTACCCACTGCTGAGACACTCGACTTCTCCATATTCTTGTGGGCATCCTGGCTTTATTAACAAATACACAACTCACTAGCTTTGTTATGATGATTTGTTGATAAAAGTAGACATTTCAGTGCTCTGAGTAAATGCCAATTCTGTTCCCTTCATGAATATATTAATGTTCAATTATTCAAAGGTTATTGCAACTCAGGGATCTGCTTGCTCTCATCTACTCTATTTTGACTGTTTACTCTTCATTATCTCTGACAGTGAACCAGAAAAAATAAAACAAGAGAATACAGACAATTCAGTAATGTTCTTTGTAATGGGGGAAAGTTCTGTGTATGGCTCAAATAAGAAATAAAAATAAATGCTAAGGTTCACCTGTGGGAAACAACAACAAAAAAACATTTATCAGTAGTTCTCACTAGGGGACTTCTGGCCCTCAAAGCAAATTTGGCAATATCTGGATACATTTTTCATGATTACACCTTGGGGTTGCACTGGCATTTAATGAATAAAGGCCAGAGATGCTGTAAAATATGCTATACTGCACCAAACAGTCACCGCCAACAAAGTATTATCCAAACTCAAAATGACAATACAAGTTGAGCATCCATCCTTTATCTGAAATGCTTGTGACCAGAAATGGTTCAGATTTCAATATTTTAAATTTTGAAATATTTACATATACACAATGAGATAACCTTCAGGAGACAACCCAACTCTAAACCCAAAGTTAAAAATGTTTCATATGAACCTTATACACACAACCTGAAGACAGTATTTTTTTGTGTACCTGAATTCTAACTGTGAGGTCAGGTGTGGTGTTTTCTACTATGGCATTACGTCAGTGCTGAAAAAAATTTCTTAACTGGAAGCATTTCAAGTTTGGGGGCTACAGGTGCTCAACTTGTAGGACAAAAGTCAAGATGCCCTGGATTTAGCTACCCTTAATCCTTTCTTAACATAAGGTTTAGATAATAAATTTTTAAAATTAAAATTATCTTTTTTACAAGGGCCTCATACAGTATATGTGTACTAGACACACGTGAAGCGCAGAAGTGACAGAGACCAGAGGGGATACCACGTTTATCACAAACAGTCACAGCACTTTCTTCCTATGTTCATGAAGTGAAGCACTTTGCAGACTTCCCCACAAATCTCTACTGACAAGGAGAAAAATTTGCTTGACAATTTAATTTAAACCATCTGTTCTTCAGTTTAAAATATATTATCCACCTATAAGCATTCAAAAGTATTTGTTTTTATTAAAATTTTAAAAGCCATTATATAACTGAAAGCCTATTTTTATGTTACATGGGTTTTTTTTTTTTTTTTTTTTGTTTTTTTTTTTTTTTTTCTTGAGGGTGGGGAGTTGGTTTCTTTGGTTGTTTTGTTTTCTCATTATTTAGCCCTGGCTGGCCTGGAACTCTCTATGCAGACCAGACTGGCCTTGAACTCAGAGATCCTGCCTCTGCCTCCTAAGTGGTGGCATGGGTCACCACATATAGCCTTACATGTTACATAACCTTTTGAGATTCATTCAACACTAGAGATGAATTTCATTCCTTTCCTCAAGGCAGTAAAATTCAATTACATGCAATTCTAATAAAAATGGCTGTTTCAACATATGGATCCTTTAAGAGAATTAAGCTAAGTTTTTGTCAGCCTAACTTTTCCCTAACACTGAGATTCAGAGTGTTCGTGACTGAAAAATAAGCTTCCAACAGTCTAGCTTTTTGTTTTAAGACAGGGTCTCACTAGCTTATTCATTCATACATTAAAGCAGAAAATACAGGAGAAAGTTATGGTTGGTCCCTTACACTTACTTACTTTCTTTTTAAAATATAGCAGTCCACATTACATTTATTCCAGGTACACCTGACAGGTTTTTGGGTGTTTGTTTTTTTTAAAGTGTATGTATGTCTGTGTGAATGTGGATCCTGTGGAACTGGAGTTGCAGGTGGTTGTGAGCTGGCTGATTCAGGTGCTATGAACTGAATGCCAGTCCCTTGCAACAGTAGCCCACTGAGCCATTTCAAGGCCCTTTCAACACCTTATCAATTAACATAAATCAAACCACTTCTGGAGAGTGCTCATTTTTAATCATACCTTCAAATACCACCAGTTAAACCTAGGGCTTCATACATGCAAACAAGTGCTCTTCCACTGAGCCACACCCATTCCCAGCCCCTTTTAAGAACTTTTTATCTCATTCAAGTTGTTCAAGCTGGCCTTGAGCTACCTCTGAGGCTCAGGCTGGCCTGGAATTTGTGATCCTCCTGCCTCAGCCTCTCAAGTACCTGTCATTTGGTTTTTCTTTTTTAAAATTCTAAAATATAGCATTTTAAATAAAACCACCCTAGCCTAATTAACTCACAAAAACATCACACAGCTGGTTCCAGGAAGCCACTCAAACACTTGCCCCCAGTCCAAACTCCACACATACTGGTGAACTTTCTACACAGTTAAGAGTGATCATTCAGCCCTGGAGTGTCACTTAGGTCAACTCATTTTCATCTTTTAAGGAGCAAAGGCAGCAAGTGTTGGGCTCTCCTCAAATTTACAATTTGATTTACCATATTTCTCTTGTAAGTTAAAACTGGTCATGCTCAAAATTCAAGAGGGAAATAAAAGGATTAAATACATTATTTTGGAAGAGATACTCATTTCTAGATTATCCACATATTTTATTAGAAGTATAAAAGGAATTCAATACAAATGTAAAAACAAGTTTATTTTCAGCATAATACTCTTGCTTTATTTTACTAAGCCTTAATGTAAATATTTATCAGAACTAAGAGCACTCACCATCCTGCTGTTTCACAAGTCCCTGCTGAATATATCGAATGTATGTAAAAAAGTTACATACAGAAGTGATCTAGGCCAAAAGAAAAAATATAACTAGTCAAAGTTTTACAGCAAAGCAAACCTTAGTAAAATTCATGGTTATGTCACTTACCCTGTATCTGCAAAAAGGAGATATATAATAATAGTTGCTTGAGTCCCCTAGCTTAATTCTGTGTTTACAGGACTTACTCTGGCCAGTGAGGGCACATTTTCTGCAAAATAACAAATTTCAAGGTTTTAAATTAGAAACATTTGCCACTGTCTTTACAAGGTGTCCATTATTTAAAAAAAAAAAAAAAAATCTGAGAACTTACCACATACCAGATCCTGTTCTGGACACTGGACTACCATAATGAAAAGCACAAGTTCCTGCCCTGGGAACTTACGTTCCAGTATAAGCCTAGTACTGTGTATTAGTACCTAGTACTATGGTTCTAGAAATAGAGGCTATTTTCTACCTATGTCCTTTCTGAAAGCAAATTTACAAACGAGTGACAGGCCACAGGACAGCACTCAGCTTTCCAACTATAGTCAGTTTTTGAGTAGAAAAGAGTATAATCAAGAGTCAAGTCTTGCCGGGTGTGGTGGCGCAGGCCTTTATCTCCAGCACTTGGGAGGCAGAGGCAGGTGACTCAAAAAGACAAATAAAAAAAAGATTCAAGTCTTAAAGCCTGTTGCTAATAGCTTGCAGGGTAATACCTTCTAACAGGGTACATGTTTGACTGGTTGGTTTAGATGCATTTAGTGTCGGCTATAAGGAGAAATATAAAGTATAAGTTGTCCTTTAAACATGAAATCTTTAATATGTATATGAAAAATACACTTCATACCATCCTTTTTTTTTTTTTTTTTTTTAAGTCTTTTGAGACAGGGTCACCCTGTAGCCCCAGTTGGCCTGGAACTCACTATGTAGACCAGGCTGGGTCCATATGCCAGCCGCCATACCATCATCTCTTTTTGTACAGTACAAATTCTAAAATTTGGTATCACTGTTCTGGCTAGGATTAGGCTACAAATTTCTTGAGGGTAGAGACTGTGTCTTATCCATCTTCTTTTTCCTTCTTACAAATTTTATTTTTATTTATGTGTACTGGAGGGGAGGTGTGAGAGGTGCCTGAGGAAGCCAAAAGGAGGTGTCGGATCTCCTGGGGCTACAGTTACAAGTAGCTGTGGGCCACCAAACGTGGGTGATGGGAACCAAACTCTGGTCCTCTGGAAGAGCATTCAGCCACCTTAACCACTAGCCAGCTCTCCAGCCCCAGGTCTTGATCATCTGTAAAGTCTGGCACCAAGTAGCCATTCAGTGACTGGTGAATAAGTGATGAGCCATCTGTCACCACGCTGCTCCATCAGATGAAGCTGGTTTCTCTTTCAGGCTGGACTTGCAGCAGCCCAGCTGTCACCCTAGTCAGCTGGGAACTTGGATGAATACAGCTAACACTCTCTGTCAATGCAAAACTAGCACAGTTCTAAGCAAAACAAAGTTAAGTGGCCAATAACATTTCACGTGACATTATAAATTATGTAACAGAATAACTTATATGAACTAAATTAAATTTCATTTATACCTGCATGAAATAGAATACAAGTGTGCTCCATAATAAGAAAGTACATAGAGAATGTGTTATTTGGGATGGAGCAATTCTAGAGGTGACTCTGTAGAGCTTGCTGAAAAAAAAAAATTATCTTTTATTTCTCCAAAACTTAAAGATAATTTGCTTCAATGTTTCATGTGTGTGTGTGTATGTGCAAACTAATGGCTTGTGGCAATATTTAAGAACACTAATAACAGAGGCTAGAGAGATGGCTCAGCAGTTAAGAGCACTGGCTGCTCTTGCAGAGGACCAAGGTCAGTTCCCAGCACCCACATGGCAGCTAACAACCATCCATAACTCCAGTTCCAGGGGATTCAACACCCTCTTCTGACCTCTGCAGGCACTGCACAACCTGAATGCACTTACACACATGCAAGCAATATACTCACACACAGAAAATAAAAGCAACAAATAAAGTATTTTTTTTAAAAAAGAACACTAACCACAGCCAGGCGAGGTGGTGCGTGTCTTTAATATCAGCACAGAGGCAGAGGCAGGCCTGGTCTATATAGCAAGTTCCAGGCCAGCTGGGGCTACAAGAGCCCATCTCAATCCATCCATCCATCCATCCATCCATCCATCCATCCATCCATCCATCCATCCATCAATCAATTAATCAGTCAATGGACAAACAAAATACAAGAATAAATAAAAGAAACAAACCTACTAGCTAGGGGAGGATTAAAGGTCAGTAAATCTAAGATTCAATTGTTGGAAGTTCTTGTAACTTTCACAAGTAGAATTCACTCAAATGGAAAAAGGACCCTTAAACTGATTCTTCTAGAAAATGTAATTTTTCTTTTACCATCCTAATTTTGATAGGGTCCTGCTAAAGTGCTTCTAAGTATTAATTTTTAAAGTAATATAAAGGTATTTCTTAAATGGTCTCATTTCTAAATCCTAACATAGTCACAATCAATGTATTTTTGTCTGGTTCAAGATCCAATGCTATAAAGGTCCTCCGACTTCCCTTCGATGCTGTTGGAGACAAACAAAAGGCCAAAGCAGCTCTCCACAATTCTAGTCCTGCGATTTCAAGTGCTTGCTTCCCATTTTCACAAGCAGATGTCAGCATGTCTAAATCACAAGCCAGGTCTTTTTCTACCAATTGTCAAGATTAATTCCAATCAATCTTCGAGTCAGGCATCTTTAACTTCCATCGTCTCCCAGCCTCCCTCCCAGTCTAGTTCTGTTGTCACCTCCCCTTCTCGTTATCTGCTCATGTGCTACTTTCTTGCTCCTAGGCTTCCAGTCACATCAAAAGTTCTTTACCCAAACTCACTCATACTCCAAAAATCTCTCTACCTCCAGGAAGAGTCCCTAATCACAACTGGAATGGTCTTGTCTTCACATTCCGACAGCACTGTGTTGCTCATTTAGTCTTTGCAGCCTAGTCCACAAGAGACTTGGCCAGGACCATACATTACAGTTCATTTTTTAAAAAAGAGAAAATCTGGGCCAGTAAGATGGCTCAGTGGGTAAAGGTATCTGTTGCCAAGTCTGACAACTTGAGTTCAATCCCTGGAACCCACATGTTAGAAGGAAACTGATTTCCAAAAGCTGACCTTTTCCATGTGTGCCATGGCATGCCCCTCCCCCTAAAAGATAAATAATGTAATAATAATAGTAAAAAGACAAAATCTTCCTTCAGTTTTCCACAGAACACCTTGGCTCTTGATCTTACAAGCACAATATCCTTAAACTATGTAAATTAATCTCTAAAACCTAACCTACATAATTCTCTTTTTTTTGGGGGGGGTCTTTTTTGAGACAGGGTCTCCCTGTAGCCCCAACTGACCTGGAACTCACTATGTAGACCAGGCTGGCCTTGAACTCAAAGATCTGTCTGCCTCTGCCTCCCAAGTGCTGGGATTAAAGGCATGTGCCAACTTGTCCAGCTCTACATAATTCTTTTACTAAAACTGTTTAGTTCATTTTCACTAATGTCCTTATTTGTCATCATTTGAGAATATTTGTATATGTATAGTATATGTGACATATAATACAAACATAAGATTCAAATTCTATAATAGAAGCTGTTACAGGCCATAGTTAAAATAAGTTATGAGGGGCTGGAGAGATGGCTCAGCAATTCAGAGCACTGGCTGCTCCCACAGAGGGCTCAGGTTTGGTTCCCGCACTCACATGGCAGGTAACAACCATCTATAACTCCAGTTCCAGAGGACCGAACGCCTTCTTCTACCCTCTATGGGTACTGTATGACATGGTGCACTCACATACATACTACACATTAAAACAATAATAAAAAAATATTAAAATAAGGTATGATACAGACCTTCAAAGTATAGACATTGCTATCGTTACATTTGACTTTCCATTTAGGGGCGTGGGGGGTAGCACTGATGGTCCAAGATAAAACTACTTTAGTGTTTGTAGAATTCAAGGGTATAAAAATGTTTCCCTAAAACTCAAGAGGCCACTGTGCAATAGGTGCGTCTGTCACAGGGGGAAGTAACAGAGGAGAAAACTCTGGGTAGATGTATGGCTCACAAATCAAATACATGGCTAGTAACAATCAACAAGTATTTACAGAAGTACCAACATTCTGAAATCATCCTGAGAATATATGTGCATCAAGCGAAACAAGAATTTTACAGCTTCTCTAACAGACCACTAATTAAGCAGCTTCCTCAAAAGCTTTCCAAGTCTTATTTTTTTTATTTTTTTATTATTTTATTTATTTATTTATTTTATTTTATTATGTGTATGACTGTTTTGACTGCATGTGCACCAGTGTCCTGCAGTGCTCATAGAGGGCACAGACCCCCCTAGAACTGGAGTTACAGATTGTGCTGAGAACCAAATCTGGGTCAGGGTCAGTCAGTGCTCTTAACCACTAAGCCATCTCTCCAACTGCCCCCCACCCCCAACCCCAGCCATTTTTTTAAACAGAAGCTAAAGCACAATTAAACAGTGGTTTGGGGAAAAACCTTTACTATTATCAGAGGTTTTAGGCTTTTTCCTCATAGGACTGCATAGGAAAAGCCAGCCCTGCTATGAAGTATAGCAGTCCTTCCTCTGAGAAGGTGTAATTTCCAAATACTTATCACATGTGAAAGACACAATTATTTACTAATATCAGAATCTTTTGCAATAACATGAAAGGTAAGGACTAATTATTCTTTTTAATGCCCTGATTTTACACTTGATAAGTCAAAGTCAGTACCTTCCCAAACTAGTGTTTGATGGCAACCCTCATAAAGAAATTTTACACAGATATTATCCAGTACACTCAGAAAACTCACTCCTGATCATATTCTCTCTCTCTGTCTCTCTCTGTCTCTCTCTGTCTTTCTCTCTCTCATGCACGCACACATGCACATGCACACAAATGCTGCCTACAACCCACTAGACTGATTTCATAATCCACTAATGGGTCAAAATATGAGATTACAAGAAAAGAAAACACAGAAACATTGTTTCTACTTCTTGAGTCTACCTAGGTCCCTATCAGATATTTGTACTTTAATTACAGGGTTCCTGACACTCCCCTGAAACACCCACACCCACCTCTTGCCTTAGATGTGCGCCTATCCTTAGATATCTCTCACTCTCAACACCTACAGCTATATCTAGGCATATGTTCTATGTTATGTTTTTCTTAATAAATCTACACCTTTCTTTACTTAATAAACTTGGCTTGAAACAAAAAAAAAAGAGATATTCCTTCAAAGGTTTGTCTCTGTGGGCTACACAGACTCTAAGAAAAAAACTGAGAAGAAATTTAATCACATTTGAAACAATAAATGAATAAAACAATCACAACATGCACACAAAAGTCACTCTCTCCCATAAGTCATGGATGTAAAAACCTACTTTGGTCCTCCACATTCGACTGCTGAGGCTTTCACAAATCGAATAGGTTGTAATCCCACAGGTTCGATGCTCAAAGTGTTGTTCTCCACAGCCTCCAGAACAGCTGAAGCCAGCTTAGAAAAGAAAAAAGAATTAGATGCTATGCTGGCAGAGAAATACCAATATCAAATAATAAATTTTACAAATTAGTCTTCCTTCGATTTCACTAACTTGGCCTTCATAATCTTTATTAAATGTCTTATATTATAACTCAAGCAGTTTGAAAGGCAACTTAGTTACAATGAAATAATTTTTGGGCCACCTAAAAAAAGATGGAAGGCACTAATGTCAGTCTCTGTCCATTCCTTACCCACAATTATACATCTACCATAAAAGCCACCTCAAAGCTAATATACTAATGCTTATTCCTGCTAAATCTATGCAGTAAATACTGGTCATTAATAATAGCAATGTGTACTAGTTTTAGCTACTTACTTTCTCAATTTCTATTTATATACACAAAAATCTACAAAAAGTTAACTAAATTTTTAAAAATAAAATAGTAAAATCTCCAGACAAAGTAGTCAAAACTGATCAACAGCAGGTCACAAACGTCAGCCTGGAGAGGTCATTAATGCGCAATGGCCTACGTGAAACCAGGCAGAGCACAAGGCACAGCCCACACTCAAACCACTGTTATACTGCTCGTCTTCAGCTCTCCTCACAAAGAATGCTACAACTCCATCCTCCAAAGGCTTCCACAGACTCTTAGGATTGAATTTCTTAAACATTAGTTGACAGGACATTTGGAGATAAACTTTCACATATAAGCTCAAACTGAAATTATGACTTTGTGCCTGCATATGTTATATAATATCTGATTATCTTTAAAGATTTTTAATCTACCTACTTCATTTTCCCTCTTAACAACTCTGTGACAAAGGCCAGGTTACTGTTATTTTTCCTGTTTTAGTTAGGAAACACTTGGCATTCTGGTTTGGGTTCTATATTTTGTAGTGGTGGAGATCAAATGCAGGGCCTTGCATAAATTTGGCAAGAGCTCCACCACTGAGGTACACCCCCAGCCCCCAGACAGTCCTTAAATGATGAACCCAACAAAATCTTAGAGAACTTGACCTAAACTGGACCTGGATCTGAAAACCAAGCAGCAAGCCCTGCTCCCATCAGATTTACACGTCACACTAATGCAACACACATTTCAGTGTGACGAATCCTCTGTTCAAGAAAGGACCTGCTCAGTGACTGAATGCAGTAATGTAGAATGGAGAAAATCGTAAAAGATGGTATTTCATAATAACTTATTTGCATGAGATATTAAAATATGCAAATGGAAACAGAAAAGTACAGAGAAGATTCTAATGCATTCATAATAAAATGAAAAAAAAAATTACCTCACTTTTTGAGAATGTTAAACATGGAAAGATATCTTCCTGATAGATTTTGTCTAAGAAAGGACATGATCTGTCCATTGTGGGCTCATCCTTCCAAGATCTGAATTCATTATACAGAGATAAATCAGCCTACCAAAAGAAAACACAAACAACATTTTTAAAGGGCAAATATAAAACCACTTGAAAAAGATTAAAAAAAAAATTAAGAATGTAATTCCTTTCCCTAAAATTCAAAAGGCCATTGTGTTATAGGTGTGTCACAGGGGGAGTGTAACCCAGGATATAACTCTGGGTATATGTATGGCTCAGAAAACAAACACATGACAAGCGTTCACTGGAGTACCAACACTCTGAAATCACCCTGAGAACATATGTACATCAAGAGAAACAAGAATTTTACAGCTTCCACAACAGACTTATTAACTGACCAGTCTTTTCTCCTCTAGCATCATAATAACCCTAACAGGAGTCAATGACTACTAATAAAGCCTAATTTAAACATTACTAAAAAGGAAATGCTCTTTATTTAAAATAATGAATTCAGCTGTTCCATAATATATGGAACTGGCCCTTTGTTATGTGCTCCCGTGTGTTGATGATGCTGACACCATCTTCACCCAGCGCCTCCAAATACTGGAGCTACTCTTCTCATCTCTTCTGAGACAGAATAGCCCAGAATTTGCTATTAGTCCAGGTTGGTCTTAAACTTGCAGATCCTCCTGCCTCTACTTCCCAAATGATGGCATTATATGCCTGTGTCTCCATGACCGGCACTATTGAAGTTATTCTTAAGACACAGGTGCACACTGTCCTGAATATAAAAAATGACGGTGACAAGTCTTTCCTAAAAATCATCCATTTGGAGCCAAGGTAATTAAGTAAAGTGAAAAAGCCAAGTCTAAATTGTAAAATCTAGTTTGGCCTAAAAGGAAAATGATAGTGACTGTTTTTCACTGAGGACATTCCCAAAAGAATGGCTAAAATATCCACTGTATAGGTTAATAAGGTTAAAAGGTTAAAAGGTTAATAAGGTTAAAAAAAAAAAAAGTAAAGTAAAAAAAGGAGCTTGTATATAGCTTACTACATTGAATATCTTAACTGCCATCTGAATTAGCAATAATCCGCCAATGGACTCACCTTCCTAATCACTCCTCCCTTGGTGTCTCCTCTTTCCTCTGTTTATAAGGAGTGTTGCCTAAGCCTCCTCCTCTCAGATGCTCCGATCCCCTTGGCCTACCTAGCTAGCTCAATAACAGTGAAGAGAAAGCAGAACCTAGATCGGCCCCCCAAACATGGAGCTGCCTGTTTGCCCTTACAGAGCTTTAAGCCACACTTGTCCAGATGCACTCAATAATCTATGAATGATGCACTGACTAAGCTGTGGCTGGCCCAGGACACCCTATCAGAGGTGCAGCCAGCCCACACACATCAAAGAAACAAAAGGCTAAGTGCACCCACGCTATCCTACAGACTTTTTAAAAGTTGTATAGTGACAATCTCAATATGTAGGGTTTTTTAAAATTCCAATTCATAAATTTGAGTCAAGGCTAAAAGTAAAAGGATTAAGTGTATTAGCAGATAGATAAGATCTTCAAATTCATTTGTAAGGATAACTGAGAAAGCAGAAATGAGCCCCAAAGCAGGGAAATGAGTAATATTTCAAGGAAAGACTCTAGGTTAAAGGCAGTAATTTAAACCATTTCTTTGAAAAATCTTTAATTTACTTATTTTTATACTGTAAGTGTAATGCCTGCATATATGCAAGTGTACCCATGTCATGCAATGCCCACGGAGGTCAGAAGAGGGCGTCAGATCCCCTGGAACTGGAGTCACAGACAATTGTTAGCAGTCATGTGGGTGCTGGAAAATGAACCTGGGTCCTAGGGAAGAAGAGCCAGTGCTCTTAACTGCTGAGTCATCTTTCCAGACCCTTAAGTCATTTCTTAAAAGCTGAGTCTTATGAGAGCCATGGTGAATACTTTATAAACATTTATTCCTCTGAATTGTGCAAAACAAGACATGATGATCCCCACTCTATAGATAGACACTAGGACTTAAAGAGAGAAAATAACTTGCCCAAATTTACATAGGAAGAAAGTGTAAGACCCAAATTCAGATCTAAGTGTTGAGGTCCCAAAGCACTGTGCACATGTCTACATACAAATACACACATGTGTTTTTAAATGCTTATACACTGATGATATGACTATGTCCCATCACATTTTCTTTAGAAACACACAGATATTTCACTTTCAGATTGTTATAAATTGTCCTAAGACTTATATTAAGTCACTTTCTTGATTTCTTTGTCTAATAAAACTCTTTGATGTTTTCACAAACACCAGAATATAAGATGTAACCAGAAAGCAAAAAAGTAGGTATATGTTGTCTATTCTTATTTTTATGCATTTCAAAAACTAAAAGAGCTTTTAAAATGCTTGGTGAGAAATCATTAATTTTTTTTTAGTATAAACAATGATGGAAAGTACAAAAAAATTATCTTTATGGAGTGAGAAACAGTAGTAAAAACCAAAAATTGTAACAATCTTCAAGTCAGAATTAAAATTATAACAGTTTAATATTTAACAGAAGCCAATATGAATTTCAGATTTTGTTACCTTCATATTTGACCGAGCACTAAATTTTTTTAATTAGCATATTTTTATTAATAGCTGCACAAATGTAATTCAATTAAAACAGATAACAACACTGGTTATTCAAATAAACTAACTCCAGGCTTTCACACAAAAATTTAACTGAATAAATACAAATAGCTTCTTCAACATTAAGGATTAAACTCAACAATGTAAAATGCAGCTTTTAAGAAAAAACAATAATGATGCTCCTCAAATTCTTGATCGATTCCCTTGAAAATGGTTTTCATCATACACATAAAATTAAGTGTTTTGTGATTATACAATTTTTACTCTAAGCATTCAAAATATTTAATGTTATCTCAGTTCTCTTTATAACGTTTTCTAAAGGATAAGGCTATCATTATTTCTGTTTCTTCTTGTTTAATTATCTGAATTAATTCCAGGCAGTCCTTATAAATATAAATTCTGCTTCTCCCAGAATTAAAATAAGAGGTAACAGTAATCCTTAAAAAACTGATTTTCACATTTCCTATATTCCTATTTAGTACTGCACACTTTCAATACACTCTTGCCTATGACATTAAGGTCACCCATTTTCTCTTATACAACACATGCTAGTTTGTTCCCTAAATGAAAAATTTTGATGAAGAAACTTACCAGGTCTCTAGCAGGTCCTCCACAGCCAGCCAGTAGAGAATGGGGGTGAAGAATCCCTGAAAGCAGCCAGCTCTAGAGAAAGCCTCCCCCATCTTAATATTGTATATTTTGTACTAAAATTTTGCTGGCAAAAAAAAAGTCACAACTGACACCTCAGTGATGAAAACTAACACGTATCAAGAGTCAGAGGGGACAGTCCTTGGCGAGTTACCTCTTTGCAGTCTTTTACAATGGGCTGTATCACACTGAGGTCCTGATGACTGCTGCCCATAGCACTGCTTGTACTCTTATTTCTTGTGTGCCCCTTTTTAAAAGGTGTCTTGCCACCCGGCAGAGGCTCTTGCGTAGGTGATGTTGGAGAACTGGACAATACAAGTGTCTTCAGTGCGGCCACTTCGGCTTGAAGTACATCAATCTTGAAAGGAAACCAACCTGGTCACACACAGTAAGTCCTCTGACAGACGCAGCTAAATGTTAGCAATTTGGTCCAAACACTTTCAAGGACAGAAAATAAGTTTAATTTGTATTTTCTGTGAAGTGATAAAAGGAAAGTAATACAAGTTTTTTGGTGTTCCCATATGGTTTGGATTCAACTACCAATAATATCAAATGAAAAATTTTAAACTGTCAAAAATATCTATCATTTACATGAATTTTCAAAATCAGCAAAATGTAACAGCTTATGATTAATTGTAGTTCACTCCTAAAATAGTGAAATTAACATTTAGGTGTCTTTTTTTAGTGAAATAAGAAAATAATTTAGCCAGGTATGACAGCATACACCTTGAATTCCAGCACTCCAGGGAGGCAGAGGCAGGCAGATCTCTGTGAGTCGCCTGGTCAACAAAGCATGTTCTAGGCCAGCTGGGGCTACAGAGAGATCCTGCCTCAAAAATATCACAAAAAAGAAAGAAAATAATAAGCTTATAAATGTGATTATACAATTCTTTTGATGTGATTTACAAGGTTTCAAAGATCATTTGGGTCTAATATAAATGTTCAGGTTTTTTTTTTTTTTTTTTTTTTTTTTTTTTTTTTTTTTGTCTTTTTGAGACAGGGTCTCCCTGTAGCTCCAGCTGTCCTGGAACTATGTAGAAGAGGCTGGCCTTGAACTCAGAGCTCCACCTGCCTCTGCCTCCTGAGTGCTGGGATTAAATGC